CTTGGACAGAGGCCAGAGAGCCACCACAGAGAGGCCGTGGCAAGCGTAAGTATAACGACTCTAACATATCCTATTTATATACGTAGAAGTAGTAGCAATACGACATGATGTGTGTCCACGTATGCTATTTATACGCATTACATCGCATAGCAGCTGAAGTATGGTGTACATCGTAGCGTATGATTTAATTAATGGGACATCGGTCTTTGCCATGATAGTGACGAAGGCAGTGGCGAAAGGAAATGAGCTACAAAAAAGGTTCCTTTTTATTAAATTGTTACATACACACCACAAACATATGTATTTTTTTTTGATTGTGTTACACACCCATAGGCCCACTCGTTGCTATTACCACGAATCGTCACCGGTCTAAGACTCTTACTATGCAATATAACAGAAAAGCAAGTGAAGAATGCATGATTAGAAGTGAGCAATAAAAAGTAACAGACGAAATTTTCTAGACCGATATATCATTGATATCTTTACTGCTGTACATAGAAACAAAGGTACATATTAGCTTTCCATTGTTTGATTGATTCTACGAGCTCGTACTCGAATCCAGAAGATCGAGTATTTATTTTGAAGCCACATGTGTAAATTGGTTGCGAACGGAAAATGCATCTGTGCATTTAACGGCGTATGATACGCATGATTTTGTCAAACGTTTTTGCATGATATATCTGACCATGCATAAGACGTGTTCGTCAACTTTCAAGGGTGTACAACTCGAACGTCGCGTCTCAATAGCGCACTAACTTATAGAAGCGCAGTATTGTCTGTATCATCTAGTTACAAGCTTCTGAACTATTCATGTTTTGGGCACTCGTGTGTGCGCACTGCGCAAGATTGGGTGGCCCCATCACCTCTCCCCTGGAACTATACGTAGCAAATAAAATAAGCAGACTTCTGTCGGCAACAGAGTCTTTCGCTTGTAAAATGGTTTCATTTTTCTGGAGGAAAGTCCTGACGACAAAACAATGTCGACGAGCACGAAGACGAGGAAATCATTGGGCGTCCCATAACTTCGACATTGATTCCAGCGTAGTCTACCGTTTCTACCCTGCATGGTCAATGGCAAATGCCAAGGAAAGGAGCTCGGAGCTAGCCGGAGGAGATGGAGTCCAAGGGGTGCTAATGGTAGAATGTGTGAACTTTGCTGGAAAGATAGAGGCCGAATAGTAGTGAGCTTCGTTGGTTGTTTAGCTGTTTGGCTGTTTGCTGGGGGCGTGAGATGCGAACAGAGGGTTCGCAGATGTAGGGGCACTTGCGTAGGGAAGGGGTGCTGACATGAGACGCTGCTGGCCAGTTTAATACATGTCAGGAATGTCAACTATGTGAAAGGCTTCCTTTGTCGGCCTGCCGGTATCGCTGCCCCTTTACGTCGTTCATTCTCCATTCAGTCAGTTTCACCATCCAGGCAGACGACCGCGATCCACTAGATTCCGTTTGCATTCATAGCTCGCCGACGCCCCTAGCATCGTATAGAAGCGACGCAGGACCTTTCCTAAGACTGGTCCTGGTCATTGTCGTTGTATAGTTTTATAGACAGAGGCATAGCAAGATGGGGCTGGACTGGAGTAGGCTTAGTCAGAGAGCAGGAACAGGCAGGTGAGCAGCTAAGCGTCGGCAGATACTGTTACCGTTCTGAGAAGCAGGTCGATGAGGACGCCCATGACTATTGTGCTGTAGTTTTTACCCCTCTGATCTGACTCACGCAGAAGGCAACGCGGCCATGGCGTGCGGCCCATGTGCGTCCACATATGCTACATCGTTGCCCCGATCTTCCATCTGTAGCGCCACCATTAAGCTTCTAGTAACGGGAAGATTTAGAAAGAAAAGTCGGAAGGGAGGAAGTTTTGCCTGTCCAGACGAAAGTGTTCGTCGCCAACTGTCACCATGTGCCTTTCCACACTTCCCCCGGAACACAAGAAGGTCGCTCATTTTGTTTGACTTCGACCCTTTTGACCTTTATGAGCCCCGCCTCAGGATGACATCTGCCGACTTGCGGGCTTTGGCCTTGTTTGCTTGCCTAGATAGTGTTCCTCATGCGCTAAATGGAGCTAAATGTTTTATGAAAAAATTTGTCTTGAGTTTTAGGTCCGGTACGCCCGTTGGTCATTGTATCAGACGGCTGGCTCCCAGCATGAAACGAAGTTGTTCACGAACCCAAATCGCCACGCGTCCCTCAAGTTTAGAAGGCACACACGTTACCTACTATGCCATCACCCGCCAAGTAGAGCGACCGTGCGCGGAGACGCACTTTCATTATTTATTAGAAATCGCCGTTTTTTTCCACTTACAGATGTAAAGTTAAAATGATATGTAAGCCACGATGACCATAGCCATCTGCACGTTTATTGTTAGCGAAGGGTTGAGGGTAATCAGTCCACTGCACAAGTAAAAGATATGTGAAAAAACCGATTCGTGTTGTTATTAAATTAAAGAAAGATATAAACTGTTTAGTAATAGACATAATAGACAGAAAGCGGTTTCTATTCAGTGTACTGTGAAATGAAAAGTTCGTAGATCTTATTTTAAAGGAACTTCGAGTTGTCTAAAGTCGCTAGCTGGCTGAAAAACGCGGATTAATTGGCTGCTTTCTGCTTGCTTGCACTGTGGGGTGTCCTGGAATGCCTCCTACAAGAGATCCCCGCCAGTAGCCCCACAGTAAAGATGGAGGATTTGGAACCACTTGAACGGCAAAGTACGGGTCAGGGCTTGCCTGCTACTACCGACCTACTCCCTAGAGCAGAGCGGGGAACGAACGGGGACGGGGTAGCGGAGGTGGGCAGTGGGGACTGCATTGTTATTGCTGTTATGCCTCTGCAGTTTGTTGGCGTGACAGCGCCCGTGCCAGCCTCCATCACACCCTACTGCGACACAACGTTCACGGCTTCTACAACTACAATTATTGCTTGCGTCTGCTCGTGGCTTCGGGTAGTTTAGGATATTCTATCGTTGCCCCCTAGCGGGTCGTAATGGTGATTCGAAACCCAATCAGCCGATGAAGCAAAAAAAAGCTGCATAGCGTCCCTTCTCGTATCACCAACAGTAACAGCAATAACTTGTGGTTGCCACTACTACAGAGTGAGAGAACGTTACTTGCAACCAGCGCTGCCTTATCCGAGGAAAATGGTCGAGGAAAAGCGAAAATGGAGCCACAAATAAGAGGAAGAGAGAGAAAATGGATGAGAGGAGGAGAAAAAAAGGAAAAGTTGGAGTTATGTTCTATTTAGGCAGGCTCGAGGCTCTTAGTAAAACGGAACAGAGAGGAAAAATCCGTTCAGTAACACAGTAGAAATAATTGAAGCCAGAGCTACGATTGACAAACGTGGCACTAGATGGCATGCAATACTACAGTAGCACGCAGCAGCAATGGGTTTAGGCGGATCGTACGCGCTGAATTCGTCCAAGTAACACCGTTGTTCTGGACCGTTTTCTCCCCTCAGGTCTGATGATCGCTGATAGGCTCATCTCGCCTACACTTTAATGTCCAACGCGATTCAAGCTCGAAAAATGTAGTTCGACAAGTCGAAAACTAGAAAATTTTTATCATGGCAGTAGGAGCTATGAATTGGGAAATTATATGCACTTATTGATCCCCTAGTGGACGCGTGTACAGCTTACGCTTACACATATGGGAATACTCAAAATCTGTACATTTAGGTATACAGTAGACACTCTTTGTTTGCTTAGGAAACAAATTAGCAAATGAACAATTTCCAATTCTATTGGAGATAGTATTAGTAGCATATGTTCAAAACGAGAACAAATCGAGCACGGTAGTTGAATTCAGCTATAATTAGATACATCGTTTATTTGGATCTATCGGTTTCCACTTCTAGCCATTTTGTCTATTCTAGATAAATATTCTATCTCAGAATAAGGAGTGACATTTAACAAATCCTTGTTTAATATTGTCCTAACTCGCCTGCGTGAGCAGATGCTATAGTCCTTAGTTTGTTTTAATGGCTCAAAGAGTTCAGTGATGATTTTGTTGATGAGTAGTTTTTTTTTTTTTTTTTTTTATTTGTTATTGGATAGTTATTTCTATATAAATTCGTAATTTTACATTTATAAAATTAATATAACCATCGATAGGAAGTGCGCCAACGGCATTCGTTGGTCGATAAGCATTAGGCAGATGAAAAGCCATTCAGCATATTTCCATTGTCGTTTATTAATGCGGACTGCCGTAGGTCTTTTTCGGACCCCCTCGACACGCTAATGACATCTGTATAGATTACCCTCTATCAGATCTCATCGTTCAATCAGTACATTTACATACGACGGGACATTTCGGTTATATCTTGTATGTACGCATTCGCCTCTATAGATGGTTTTTGACTGTGCAAGATTTAGACTTAGGTCGTCGCCGAATAGAAACTTTAGCAGCTGATCTTTCCTGGACATCTGCTCTTTTTGTAGGGCTTTTTTTTTTTTGTTTGAATCCCTTCGTCGGAATTGCACCGAATATTTAGACATTTCGTTGCAGAACTTGATGGAAAGAATCGAAATATTCTAATAAAATAGAAGTCTGTATTCCTCTGCGTATTATAAACGAGGAACTTGAGTCTCCAATTGCGCACCCTATCATTGAGTACCGAACAGTGATCACTTATACAGTTTAATGTTTAGTTTTATTGCTGGTGCCCTAGTGATGGAAGCCATTCAAAATTCTTTCTATAGCTTATGGAAATTAGAAAAATCGGCGTCCCATGTCAAATTCTTGAATGAAAATATTCAAGCATGTAAAACTCCTCAATGCTCTACAATTTGGTTTCCATTTTTGAAGCACAAATCTACGATGATTCTTTTCCAAAGTAAGGCATCGAAATCAGATATATCTCGAGCGGAAGCTCGAGATATGTCTCACCATAATCTAATGCTGTTGTCGTTAGATTATCTCTCTATATATATATATAGAGATAACGCGGTCGTTAGAGCAGTAATTTTCAGCTGCTTAGGAACCTACTGAATCGTGCAGGACAAGGGCTGTTCGAACAGTCAGATTCCTGGGCAAAATTCAGGTATTCGATTTTCTCTTTTTTCCGATCACGTAGGAATATACGTGATTCGAGGTGCAGTACATTAATTATCGTTGCTCTTATTTATTTGATAACGATAACGTTGTTGCAATGACAGGTTGTTTTTAGTGATGATTTTCGTAGTGAACTCGTAATAGCACTACGGAAAAAAGGGCTTGCGAAAGAGCAGCGAACTTTAAAAACTATCCCTATACAAAAAAAAAACAGAGCAATGGCAAAGAAAATTTGTTGAGTGGGTCGAAGTGTGCAAACTAACCGTGCAGCCTGAAAAATGAAGGACAGCTTTCCGCTCTCATCGAGAAAAATAGAAAAACAAAACGGGAATAGCTTTTACCATATTGAAATAACTGGATTCAGCTATCGTAAACCAGCCAGTGAATGTCGACTATACTGTACACAGAAGTATAAACTTTTCAAATAGGCTAAAAAAAGCTCACAGTTGGACAGCTGAGAGCTGCGAAAAGGTCTGTTTTTAATATAACTGACCTTTGAGAAATCGTAACGCTCGAAATGTCTATAGGCGTCCCGGCGGAGAATTCTACGATTTCTGCAAATTAAATATCCGAGTAAAGTAAAATAAAACCGTAATTTCCGTTTATGAGACCACATTTTACTAGCGGGTTCTGCAGTTATGCTATGGCTTGGAAATTCGTCGGATTTCGAGCCGATTTATTAAAAGACGTGTGGCATTGTGTTAAAGGGCCGGTGAGAGCTAAACATGAGCTCCCGAGCGCGTCACAATCGGAGGATATGACTCGGGCCCGACAGAGTCGTTACGAACGTGTATCTCGGATCATGACATGCAACTGGGTTTTAAGTTTTAAGCACCGTTATTTCCACTGGTGTTTGAAACTACTTGTTCAGTGTTAACATTGTCATGCGTGCTATCGACAACTCATGCACGGAGCTATTTAATTTGCCATTTTCGACCAGTCTTGGCAACGCGTCGAAGTTCCAGATGGTCCTGTTTGACTCTAAGTTTACGCTTGAAGTTATGGTGGTTTTCTGGAAACGGCCATATAACGCGTGAGTAATCATCTCCTAAGTAACATAAGTTAGTGAGGGTAACCTTATATGACCCTAGTTCTTTCGTTGAAAGGAATCATTGAAAAAAAATTTTGGGGATCTATCTAGGTTGAACAGAACACTATCCGTCCTTCGACAGGACGAGAAACGGGTTCTTCCAAATCTGGATTTTTACAAAATATCAGTTTTCGCTAAGTTCAAGTTCTTCAGTAACTGGCTATTGATAAAGCGTATCTGAGCGAAATGCGTTCATTTACACATGCCGAGTCACAATCAGGATGAAAGCGGTATTCGCATATTTGAAGAATGATGCGCTGAAAAAACGGTTTGAGCCCTGAATTAGAGTATCGAAACGAGGGGTAGATGCATTGAATCCAGTGGTCGAGGGGGACGTTTCTGTTGGCAGATACAAACAGTATCCATCCTCTTTTCGTATACGTGGGGCTTACGAATAAGCGACAAGCAGCGGTCTGATCGTGACTCTATAGGCGACACGCTGTAGCCGTGGTGAAGATGCTGTTACGAACAATCTTCGAATGAGAGTAAGAAAAAAATGAATCTTTTACCTAAGCAAAATTACAAGCTCTTCATTCACGCAGATTAAGTGGAAACATGAAGTGCACTATTGATGGTAGACTGCTAGCTTACTATCATGCGCCCTTGCAAACGTAAGCTGTCTACCAACGACTGACCAGATCGGCTAACTGTACATCGTATATTGTTACCTGTAGTGGCCGTGATTACCGTGCTCTACAATGGAATTGTCTGGCTAACTTTAAACAGCGTTTTTTTAAAATGTTTTCTTTCTTAAGCTTCTTAACAGTTTACAGTTGGAATCGAATTTGCCTATCGGTTTAGTTACCTCTAAGTCTCACTATGTCTGTGCCAGACATAACTAGCTACATCGATAAGAGTGGCTCTACTAAAGATCCCTTACTGCCTCTTGACCCGGTTCATAGAAACAGAACGGCTCTTCGAATACGAGTGACAGTACAATAATTTCAGCCGTAAATGCTTTAGCGCGTCACAAATCATACGCGAATAATAGCCAAGTGTTTATGTAGTGGCTGGACAATTGGGTGATCGTATGTGCGTTCCGATACAGCCGGAAAAGCCTTTCGAGGGACTAGTGAAGCACAAATCTCATAGCATCGGATATCACAGAGGCCCAGCCTTCATCCTAGAAGCAAGCCTGCTTTCATAGCGGTTTCTTCTAGCTATGCTACTGAACGGCCGATCCCCGGGGAGCCATTGTAAGTAGCAGTTCGCCGAAAAGGCATTCCTTTGAAGTCATTTTCATAGACAGAAGAAACTATGATTCGTATTTGCTTCGAGCCATAAGATTACTGCATAGGGACTCCAGTCCCAGGAAGCGAAGGTTAATCTTACCCTGTGCCCCAGCATGTTATGGATATCTAAAAGAAAAGCCTTGAATGACAAAGTAAATCTGATATAACTGATTAGTAGCAAAGTTGCCTATATCCTCTAAAAGCGGGCCATATGAAACCTAGCTCTATTAGTGAATTTTGCAAAGAGAACAGTTAAGCGGAAGGGTGGAAATTATTTAACGTTAGGTTAAAAAATTATGCAATCGTCAAAAAATAATTAATTTTAACCGGGCGAATATTAACAACAAAACTTCAAAACCCTCTCGGACATTTGTACCTGACTGATTTACAGTCTAACAATAGAAAGCACTTCACCTAAAACCGTTCAGCTGATAGCGCCCTCGTGATGTTGATTGGGGAACGAGACACTGCCTTTCCGGTTTTAGTGCAGTATTCATATTCTTGTTATGCAGAACTCTACGTATATGGCGGTCTAGCTTAAAGACTGAGTATGATAAACATACTGCGGTTCGTGGTAGAAGGGCCAGCCGTCTGAAGCAATGCTGAACAGCAGCGCCAGACCTAAAACCTAAAATATTTAGTAATGACATTATATTTACTGAGCTCATGACAAGACAATGCTGGTTCCTGTTCGGCGATGCCTAAATATATCAAAAATAGTAAGTTTAAGCTTAAAATGCTTTAACACAAACATGTTAACACACTTTTGGGAACAACAAATAAAGCGAGGAACTTCCATTATATAACAAATGCTAGATCTTCCAAGAGGCCTTCTTATTATTCTTACCGACTTCTAGCAGAGGTTGTTAATAACATTCTTTCATAATTTTCCTCTTGGGTCTATACACATTTATTTCAATTTTTTGCAACTGTCAGTGTGTACGAAGATCAAAAGACAGTATCATGCCTCCAGACATCTTGCATCTACGATATCGTCTTTGTTTTCGAGTACAGCTACGACTACTAACGCCGTCTTTTCGCGCAGCTGTGGCTAGGCGCATTCTTCCTCCATAGCGCGCGAGCGGCCGAAACACTAGAATTAATTGCGGTTGGTTAATCAATCAAGATCCTTAGTGAGTATGCACATCCGAAGGCATTTCAGGTCGAACAGGCCAGCCGTAGGTTGCTGCACCATGATAACGCCGGTGACCGACCAGACCACTAAATGAATTTTATTAGGTGCCTGTCAGAAGTAGAAAGAAAGCACGAGTAGTATAATTGGAACACAGCGAGTCGCCAAGAGGATAAGAGTTTGCATATAGGTTGAGGAAGAGCGAAACGGGTACCAGCAGCACGAGGCAAGCAAGATTTGTATGTAGTTTCCCCTTAATCTCCCTAAAGGGAAATAGGCTTACCAAGACAACTCTACGCTACGCGACTTCAGTTTCTAGCCAGTCGAAAGGTAAATGCTGGACATACGTTTTTGCGCTGATTAAGATATGCAACCTTTCGTAGGCAGCCGTCGGCATTAACACTCCATGCTTGAGTTTTACGTCCGGTATCACCGTTAGGCATTCCATCCAGACACCCTTCGTTATCGAACATTTTCCCCATTATCATAACGAATACAAGCACGGTGTACATTATATGAGTGCTATGAGAGAGCTGTTTGCCCACTATCTGAAGAGTGAGCAAGCCACCGACAAAGGCGGCAGGGCGACGGGCTGAAGAATCCCCGAGATGAGCATATGCACCCGACTGAATTACGCGTTACGGTCCATTCTGTCGTAATCTCTCTTCATCTACGAGGCCAGAAAAAAAGGATCACCACTGCTTCACCGTCCGGCCCTTTCAGAGTATTTTACGGAACAAGTGAGCTCCGCTAGAGGAGTGAAGACGCAACTAGATAAATAAAAGTAGTAGGAGCACTGATGCGCCGTCACTGGTCTGACAGGAATGGATCCTGGGTTATGGCAGATTAGTGATGAAAAAGAAGAACTGGGTAGTACTTCCTTGAAGTCAGAATCATTTAAGTAGGTAATGACAACTAGTTCGTTAGTAGATTTCTGGTTGTGATCTGATCATATGAAACGACACTACAATTTAGGGGAGGATACAAAGAGGAGACATAGCTGTTTCTTATGTCACACACACGTACATATATATATATATATATATATATATATATATATATATATATATATATATATATATATATATATAATTATATAAAAAAATTTAAAAAATTTTTTAAATTGAGATTACAGCATGCGGCACAGGTCGTCAGAAGTCAGCCAATATGAATTTTACATAATTTCTGGTGGACAGGTGCAATCACGATAATTGCGCCTAAATTTGTAGTTAGGATAGGGCAGATTTATTTCCTTATAGCGATACGAATGCGAAACCAAGCGAGCAGACAGTGCCTGTAGGAAGCGGGCATTTTCGGCAGTAGATTTGAAAATGTCTATGCAGAAATTTTAAATACTGGTTCACACCGCAAAGCTACCACAAAAATACCCATACATTTTTCGAATGCAGTAAACGTTGTTTGCTAAATGAATCGGTTCCAAGGCTAGCGAACAGAATACATTCGTTGTACCCATCAGTATCCCTCGGTAAGTATCATCTGTCGCTAGAGGCGTCCTCGTTTCCAAGTAGAAATATGCCATTTTTCTTAGCTTTTTTTCAACCAACCTTGTTTCATAGACGATTTCGAATTCCTGTTGTGCCTCTTGGGCAGGACTATCTGAGCAAAATCACAACAGCTGATGCACTCGACGATATTTTATCCATAGCGTCTAACGGAACCTATGGACGCTTCTGCTGGGCAAACGGTACATCCTACCAAAAGCCTCCAGCCCGTATATCTCCATCAGGCAGTTATTAAGATAGTGGCGTTCGTTACCGTGGCTTTACTCTAGCGAAGTGTTAGCTTGCTTATTCAGCATCTGCTGTTTTTGTGTTTTGTCTTTGATTGTAAGCAAGAATATTGTAACATCTTCTTTGCTCCATACGGTAGCCTCAAGTTCAACGGACCAAAGGGCTCATTAGATCCAGCTTTAGTCTAGCTTGGTTACAATGAAGGTTTGAGCTTAATCTTGCTCTTATCCTATTTCTATTGGTCTTTTAGTCAAAACTCCACCAACGCATTGGGTCGCTGCTAGCCATCGCTGGGAGCTCTGTCTTACCGCTAACGGCATAGGACGTGGCTGAGTGTAAATGAAGCCCTGCACTCGTTGCTACTAGTGACGTGGTCGTTGTTGTACCCCAACTGGAAACGAATCTTTCGACTATGCCGCGCCTACCGCTACTTCTCCCCTTAGGATTACTTTGCTCCATACTTCTACTGTAGTTATTGCTGCTCTCTTACAGTTACAATATGAAAGCTTTACTCGATCACGTTAAATATGGTCGCCACTGCTGCGCAGCTCCTAGCTGCTTTATCGTAGTAACAACTTTCGACGTAGATGTATTTCTCTGCTTGTACGTCTGCTCCACTCACTTCAGGCGCAGCTGAGATGAAGACGACGGAGATAAAGGAAACGCCCGCGGGTAGCTGAGCTGATTGGAAACTAATGAAGAGCAGAGCCCGTATAATGACAGATATCCTTACGGCAGCAGTAGCAGCCGCGGCGGCGACACAACGAAACGGTGTCGAATACAAGCAAAGCAGGCTTTCAACTCTAAGGGCCGGGGGCGAGGACAAGGCTAAGGGCAGACAAAAAAAATTGGCGGTGAAACGATGATACATACTGGAATAGCAGACCCAAGTGCTTGCTTATTTCCTTGCTGGCTCGCTCACACTTCACGAACGAAAGTGGATCAGGAATAGAAATAACGATGACGACAACGTCAATAGTAATAACACAGCAGAATGGCACAACTGCAGATAGTTCTCAAGCCTTATGGCGTTTCAGACGATGGCGATGAACGTCAGCAGCAGCAACAACAATGGCAACAAATTTGAAAAGTGTGTTGCTAACTTTAACTAGACCTAGAAAAGGACTGGATATCAAATTTGTCCGTTTTGGCACATATTTAGTTTTTAGCGAGTGGAAAACAAACATGAAGCGTGACACTCTGTAAATCTGTAATCGCCTTAACGGCTGGCTGGCAGGCGGGGAATATCCAGTTAGTTTATTAACAGACGAAATGTCCAACCAAAATATATACCTCCGATATGACGTTATATCAGTCAGACGAACTCGTTTGTTTATATTTGTTAGATAGCATTTAAGAACAAATCATAGGATATAACAAGAGCATATATTAGTTTTACATAATTTATATTCGGGTGCCAGAAACAGTCCACTGTAATCTAATATAATTGAGACGCCACATATTTATGATATAATATTAATTATCGTAAGCAGTTTAGAAGCGGCAACCAGGCTCATCCTAATTCGACAAAAGAAACCACCAAGGGATAACAGGTGCATAATACTTAATGCATGACGTTTCGCATCGTAAATAAAATGCATTTTTCAAGTTTTACATCCCGCACTATCATTAAGTATTGCTTTGCATGGCTAGTGGTCCTTCTCACCACTGAACGGAATGTGTCTACGTCTGGCCTTAAATTTGGACAGCCTTATAACTTTAGAAGAGCGAGACACGCTACCTTTGCTACATTACAAAGATGACCCTTTTTGTACTGTAGCAGCCGGCCGACTGTGAGACAGTTGAGAGAAATCTCTGAACCGTAGATCGGTGTCTGTTGGTCTGTATATTAGCTTACCAAACAACACTTCTCATCGCACTATTTAACAAAGCCCATTAAATGAAGTCCGTTTGACGCTAGTACACCTCTAAGGATTGACAGTATGTTCCTGTTTCGAGTATGTTGAACTGTTATCTTACTTCAACAAACAACAGAGTCCCACAGAGCTGATAGACAAGTCTGTTACTGAATAAGACATAGTCCTGAGACGCTCTCTCGATGGCTGGGTTTCCTGCGGTTCAGATCACGAAAGAGATCCTTTACCGAGTGCTCCCTAATCACTGCCTCCATGTAGAACGGTGCAGTCTCTGGCTTAAATAGGAAAAGCTCGATCTTTAGTAAGAGCAGAGTCGGTGTTTCGATCGTAAGAAAAGCTACTATCTTTTCCCTTACTTGCCTCTTCACGTTCTTAGAAAGGTCGACTAGTGGGCGCGAGTGCCATTTGTAAGGGACGAAGGTCTTGATGCGCTAAATTGCCCTATCGTCTAGTCCTAGCAAGTTCGATGAAGCGAACTGAGAGAAGCTCAGTCATGGAGATGGATTCGGTGCAGATTCACTTCGGGGCCCAGTCTATCAATGCGAGCTGTGAGACAGTTGAGGCCTGCTGAAAACAGCGCCCGCTTTGCCTGAGTAAGGCGAAGTTATAGGCGTTTATTAAAGTATTGCTTCATGCAAGATTTTTCTTAATTCCATTTAGCCCATTATTAACAACTGCAAGGCTAGCACGGCTGTTCGGAGCTGTTCCTGTGGTCCGGCTGAAAGGCTCAAGGTCCGAGATGTTGTCATCCGCTATGATTTGGTTCCCTCCAATAATATCTCAATGCAGATCGGCGAACTTTAACGGTACTTAAATGCGAACTAACTTGAGAAGCGTAGCAGCTTTTGAAACCGTGTCGAGTGCCGAGCAAAATCAATTAAAGCCATGCCTCATCCTATCAAGAGCATGCTGTAATACGTTCTACGATAAAATTGATCAATCTATGAACGAATAGCGATTAGTCTATATACTGAACAGTGAAATAGTTCCAGTGATGCTGAACACTGAACTCATCAGTGAACGGTGTAGTAACTTTCTTCAATTAAGTTTTGCATGACTCCTCCACATACTACGTGCGCTGGTTGGATTTCCAGCAGAGACAATCCGATACTATGAGCTTGTTATAATGCCGCGCAATAATTTTATATTTCGTTTATAGAAGCTCTTATTATCACTAAGTTTTCTTAAACTTAAAAGAAATATATATATTATGTGAAGCCAGTAGCAAAACCCTAAACGTCTCCCGAGATCCTCGCGACGTATCATTTCATCCAAATAATATCTGGTCCGCCTTTGTTTTTACGGAAAATTTTCATAAACAGAAATTATAACTTGTTGCGAGACGCCTTTTTATTGAATCAAACAAAACATTGTCCTTCTGATCGGACATTGTATTGGTATCGAAATGGTTATCATCATCAAATATGATGGGTTAAATTATAAGCTTTACATGCATTTTCACTAAAGGAATTTATCGAACTTCGACAGAACATTTTGTAAATCAAACGTAAGTTTTGAAAGAAGTTTGAAAGCAATGGCACATTGTATTAAAAATATAAAAATATCAACTTACCGTTACGATCAGTCTATCACATTGGATTAGTTGATCCCGGTAGTGGTTTCATAATCAATGAACAGACATTACAGACACTTCGCCGATTGATGGTGTCCGTATTTAAATCGATAAGCGCTAGTGACTGATAGCCATTGTAACATTAAAAGAAATTCCTTGCAATTTTTGCCAGTGGCTATCATCATAACAGACTCACGCGGTAACCGCGTTCATTGTTGTGAAATGTTTTTGTTAGATGTCCTTGTTCGGCGGGAAGAAATGGTCCCACATGCTGTAGCTAGAGTTTTTTTTTTTTTTTTTTTTTGAAATAGGATAATAACCAACTGAGTCTGGTGCCTTTGTATGGCCAATTTCGAAATACTGTTCGCATTCATTAATGTTAATGTATATATATATATATATATCTATATATTAACGCTTTCCTAGATCATCCGTCCGGGATCAAATTCGGCCTTCCTGATGAAGTGTACTTTAAATATAAAAAAAACTGCTGTCGATGCAACCAGTCACTTCGTTTAATCGATACGCAGAGCATATTACTTCAGTGCGAGGCTCATTCAATGCTACACACTCAAGCTGTAAGCACCACTATACTGTGCGCCTAGAAGTAATATGTTTGTTTTTCTAGGGCACCTCGACCGAATCATGTCATCTGGACCAGATTATTAACATATGTCCAATGCCAAGAACGGAACTAGAGCCTTAATGGTACGGTTCTAAATCTTGACACATAGGAAAGTCATTGCTACTGAAAGCAGACAAATTCGCAGGCTTTGGAAATTCGATTGACCCTCGTTTTCAAGTAGAAAGGTCATGTTCCCAGGCTTCACGTAATTAAAAGTGAATTCGTTTGATTAGAAATAGAACATGGCCTTCCGGCAAAATCGGAAACAGTTGACTAAGCTAGAAATTACATCGAAGGTAGTATCGAGCCGCAAAATACTTCAGTAAAATACTTCGCAATAGCGAAGCACATGTATTATGGCACGTATCGTACATGACTCAGGCTCTTGTAAGGCCGCGCGGCCACAGTAAGGATGGCGATGTGTCGCCATGCTTAAGACTCTTAGTAATATTTATTATGATTATTATTATTTATTATGATGTTGAAAAGACGATTACTACACCCATATGAAACCGATATAAAACACGTATATATATATATATATATATATATATATATATATATATATACATATATATATAAGTGGAACGTTAATAAGTGATTTGTTTGTTGTACAGAGCGGTGGAAAATGAGTATCCGCTAGGACGAAGCAAAATAACTACAAATGTTATACATAAATATAAAATTAGAACTTAGGCGAAATACTTAGTCTTTAGTATTAATGTTTGTTTCAAGTATTATCTATTTACATGGGAGGGACACATACGGCTTCCAAAAGCGGAGGCTTTTACGTTTGCCTTTTAAGTTCGGACTCCATTAATCTTCATTGGCTTTCAGCTAATGTTCTAAAAATGTTCGGCGGCAAAGCCTCCACCAGTACCTCAGTTGCGGACGGTGGAGACCGAAACAGATAACTATTAAAGATAATTAGTAGTAAAGAAAAACGTTATATAATTTAAACGCTGCGGGTAAATCTCTGCAAAATGCGCTCACAGATCGATAGTTCGAGTTTGCCATCCCGACATTTTCTCTGCAAAATGTATGGCTAAATAATAAAGCGTCAAGTAATCAAATAACGGGGTTGTCCTGTCAGTAGCACAGGTAACTGGAACAGAGATAGTACAGCCGAATGTATTGGCTAAACATTCTCGACTAATCCAATATAGCCCTTTATAGATTTAGCCATCAATTAACGAAATGAAATAGTAGGACCGATAGGACAGTGGGTACCTGCACGACGCAAATACCCTGCGAGATCTTATTGAGATCATAGGAAGCCAACTGCGGTACCGTATTAGTATGCGAACTTTCACGAACTATAATTGATATCCATCAACTGTTAAAGAGGCAACAAGGATACCGATCAAAAGAAAATTAACTATGATGACAACGGGACGATTGTAACGGTAGCGTGTGCCATGTGTAACCGTACCCTAAAGTAACTAGCAATAGAACAAAGTATCACGTAATGGAAGCTGCATGACAGTAGAAAAGTTAACACAACAACACAATGGTGCACTTTTGCAATCGATTTAGGTTCTAATCATTCGAGCGTATATTTCAACCATTCTCTAATTCCGCACACTTTTTTGTTTCAAGAGGTTAACCCATAACTTTCGTTCGTAAACGCTGGCCGTCAGTTCTAGACATTTGTAGAAGTTTTTCTAATGTCAACAATATCAATCACATATATATATATATATATATCGTTCTTTGTGCCTGGTTTAGGATAGGTACTTACTTCTTGAATACGATTTTAGTTTCGCGTACATTAGAAAATATAGCATAATAGTAGATAGAGTCTTTAATATACAAACGTTTTCGGAGCTTGCCATAAAAATTAGCATGTAACCAGAATTGACAACAAAGTGGTATTTATGGGCTGAGCATTCTGGTAAAATATGAAATCGGCTTACTATTCTTAGCGGGTTACGGCTTATTTTCATACAGCTATACTATTATTTATTTATTATAAATATTCTTTCTGGGCTGTTGCAGAGCTTTGCTGAGCAGGCCCACATAGTCAAACTCATATAAAGGCACGTATATATAGGTATAATAAAAACAGAAGTGGTTATTCTAACAACACAAGGGTAGACCATGAGCTTAGTCTTTACAGATAGTTTGTGCTCTTGAAAATCAAAGAGAGCTAATACTTCTTACAGGCAATGCTAAATTAGAAGCCGGTTCTAAGCAAGCTTTAAACGAGAGAAAAAAATAACTTGTTATTAAGGACCGAAGGAAGTTTCACGAAGGTGTAATTTAGTCGTAATGGAAAGAGCAATAGTTCCAACGTGTCAATGAAGACCAAGCCATCAAGCGAGTCCACGGTTACTTGATGTGGCGCCCTTGACGACAAAGCGTGCTGCTATCTTACTACGGCCGTCATAGATTGCTGTAGATTTAAGAAGGTTTAGAATTAAGAAATCGTCTAGACGGCGTAAAGTTGCAGATTAATTTCGAACGTACTTGCGGTCTTTCCGCTGGTAGATGCAATTAAGATTGTAGACGCAACTACATCGAAGATCCGTTTCTCGCGGTAACGGCATTGTTTTCTTACGTCGATCAGACCCTAGCCGACATACATGTGTATAACTTTGTTTTCCATTTGTGGGTTTCTTTTTTTTTCTGATCCTGATTTGCTTGCCAGATTTTCGGTTTTGTGATTTCCGCTCGATGTTATTGCTGTTAACGTTTGGCGATGACTAGAAGTCTTCTGTCGTTTTTTCATGTATTGAACAATATAGCTATGATCAAACGGAGTCAGGAGAGCGGAAACGGAAGATGCGGTTTGTGAAACTTGCGCGTCTGGTCGACATGCCACAAGTAGAGAGTTGAGTGTAGGAGCTGGAATAGCTTTCTGTTTTCGAATTTGGTCGAATACATGTGACATTTTAGTGTTAATTAGTATTCAGGAGATCAAATTGAGTTGTTTCTATTGAGCGATCAATAGAAAATTAGGAAAATCTGTCTACATTTTTTATCCGCCATTGGTTTCAGGTGTTCCTACACCGCAGCCCAAGATTTCGATCTAGTCCGACTCATAGACGTGCGTCTTTCATTTTCGTAACGCGCTACTTCCTAAATACTTAATACGCTTCTAGTTGCATCGTATTAAGCACTCTTTGTACATTGACATAGCTATATGGTCAAATTATGTAACTGCACCTAAAACATAACGAAAAAGGTGTGCTTGGTTAAGTATAACGAAGTTCTTATTCAGTCTGCAATGTTAGCGTTATTACTACGTTTACGTAGATTTGTTCGTTTTATACGGATCTAGTTCGTTTTATACATTCTCTGCTATCGACAAAATGCAGAAAAATTTTATACATCTACCAGGTCGGTGATCAGTATTTATTAATTTACGTTCGGTCTGCCACTGCGCGTTCCGTAAGACGGTTGGCTCCTTTTGGTAGTAGGCCAGATAATATTTTAGTGCCAGAACATCTGAGCCGGGGGACCTCATTTCACTTGCCACCGCCTCCAACTTCAGTAGGTGAATACGCAAACTGTGGCGCTATCAGCAGGCCGTTACGGTTTCTACCCGCATGATCAGAAATAAATTCAAATGTAGACTTTCAGGACAATAATTTTAAATAAAAGACAATTTATTCATCTTGATGTCATGTCAAATAGCGACTCATCCACACGGCTTTTTCGTTCGCTGTCGTAAAGCCGGTCTACGAAAATCTACGAAATACGCAAATCTAGCGCCATGTTACCTTTGTACTTAAATAGCAAAGAGTTGATTGACAGGGTTACCGAGTCCTAGAGGGCTGTGTTTAGCTCGTCGCGCAATATTGTAAAATCATTATAACGTTAATTTGCACCATACTGAGGGTGGAGCAAAGGTCATTTGACGACTTGACAGTCCTGCTTCAACCCTCCATTAGTATAATTTCTACCACATTTTACCATATTGTTGTTCTAACAGATGCAATTCTTTTCAGATCGTCTGGAAACGTTTGCCCCTATAATAGCCGAACAGTCTCAGCTCTTCAAACTAATTTAGCCCTTGGCGCTCAATAAAATGTGAAAGCAACGTATTGATATCGATTCATAGAAAAATAGGCGCAAGTAGCGCGAACGACCCATGTGTGACTGTGTGCATTTTTCTCGTGTGCTATATAAACGAATTGACTACTTTCCTTAAAAATAAGCATAATGTCAATGCTTGTATCCAGCAATTAAGCGTTTAAGCAGAAAGTTTGTATAAAGATGAAGGGTTTATATCGAAACCTCTCAGTGAGCAGCCAATGAACCTCATTGAGAGGGCGCCTCAAAGTAGCGGTGAGCAATTTTTCATCTTTTAACATTTCCAACGGTGTCCTTTACGCGTAAATATATTCTATATACCGATACTACAAAATGGCTAAAAATTAGCTTCAAGTGATTGTCTATGATATTTAATGAATTTCGGTTTCGGCACTCGATCCATTGCTATTTAAGATATGCTTACAATAAGCATCAATAAGCACTGTCCCCGACGAAAAAGTTCAACTTGTGCATTAAACGCGTAATTCTCTAAGAAAAGAGGAGGCAGAGAACTTTGAAGATGCACCGTGTAGTGTTGCACCCCTGGCAACAAAAAAATTGTACCTTTATATTTTGGATCTTTCTACACTGTACCCCTTTTCTTTCTGCTGCTGTATGACGCCATCGTTCGTTCGCCCCCCTATTCATGTAATCTAGTTTATTTGTCTGAGCATAACCTAAAGTATTTTACCACGTTCAAACGCTTTCAGGAAAAATTTTCTACACAAATAGCGTTTCCTAAGAGGTTAGTTCCGGTTATGCTGTTAGGCGTTGATTCAAGCACGAGGCTCCTCCCATATAGCAAAGTATATCTAACCTTAGTTTTGAAGCTATGTTGCCTCACTGAGTGTTTCTAAGTTAATTGCTCAAGCATGCTACCATCACGCGAATTCTTAATAACGCCTGCTACGATAGATGTATCCGTACATCAGGAGACATAATTTTTCTGTAACACACCACGTGTCCCGTCCCTAACGTTTTTCATCAGGGATCATATTTGGAAGTTGAAATGGCTGTCGTTAGCGCTCAAACCAGAGGATGTTCCATCATGTTTACAACAAAAGGGAGCTATCTGTATTTAATATCCTTGCGAAAATGTATGAAATAAGGAACACAAATAATCCTTCTATGTTAAGTTAGGAAAGTAAAGAGAATTCTGTGTGTGACTAATATAAAATAAAGAACTGTGGAGGATGCTACATAAGTTGCAGTTTCAACTGTACCGTACAACAGACAACATACGGCGACAAATGCGGGACGATACGATGGCGAAAAGAGGTCTCCTCTCCGTGTATCTGCTTCTGTATTTATTGCATATCTGATATCATCTAATACCTGTCAACTATTGCGTTCAGGTTGACAAATCATTCCCGAGTGGATATTTACTAGAATTTATGCCCGCTCACGTAATCTTACATAATTACATCAAATTACTTTTTTGATTTATAACTCTAAAACGTAGTTGTCGAAGTGTCTCGATTTATTCTACCCTAGAAATCTTAATTATACCTTTTGCTACAGATCTATAATCCTCATTCTTAGCAGGGCCGTCTTATTGTCAACAATAACCTTAGACATTTACTATACACTGTTTATAATGTAGTAATAACAAAGACACTCAGTGGTCTCGTTTCAATGGAAGTCTCTATACTTCCTAACTTGAAATCGTCGAGTTGGTAAGTGGTATGGCATGAGAGCTAGATTCATGGTCATGTCATGGTCGGCGCCTATGCCATAACCCAAAGAAAGTCATCGTTCTTCATGAAAAGTACAGCTGTCGTAGCAATTCATTGACAAACCCTGTGAATCGCTCGACCCAGTTTTTTTGCTAAACCGATACCTCATTGATATTGCGCGAATCATCCGCAAAACATACTTACGTCCTAGATAGCTCGCTTACACGAATGCCGGTCCTACTTATGGCAGCAAGAAAAAAGCCTTCGCTGTCGTATGGTTACGTTGCTCGCCAACCGGCTGTAGGTTAAGGCCGCCGCCAACACTAACGGCAGAAAGCAACACGAGCATTTTCTGGTCTTTTATCCCCGTTATCTTGTTGGAAGCTCCCAGGTTATAAGAGCTAGAATAGAGGCTAAAGCTGGTGCGCGACTAAAACACACTTAGTTACTGCCGGGGTTCAGCATATGGCTACCTCACGACGCGCACCAAGAGACCTTGCCAGTTCATGATTCTCCTCAAAATCGTCAAGAGCGTTGTGCTTTGCTACACTACCAGTCTATCATCCTTTTGCCAGTCTTGCAAGCAGCATCCTACAGCTGGAAGTTTCTTTTGGCAAAGAAGAGCTCTTCGCGCGATACACTTTGTAACCTTACTCATATTGCTTAGTCAACTCCTCCGTCTTTGCCTGAAACGAACGAAGCATCGGGTAAGAAAACTAAGTGCTAAAAGTTGACCACATCGAACAAACCCCCGAATACGCACGAAAACGGTGTGTACGAGACCCGGCGTGCTTGGACAGTTTGATACATTTAGTTGGCCCTGGATTAAGTAGCAATGTAGAACTCACGGTAAAAATGTCAGGACACGTTCCTTTTCTTACTGCCTATTCAACCATACTGTTTGTGCGGCATCGTCGCGTACACGCACGGCCACATCAGAACTCATTGGCATTCCACCAGCGTCCAGCATTTGCACACAAGCGACGTCCGACGCTATCGGCTATGAACATCTACCGACTCCGTCCTAAGGCGAGCGTAAAGATGGACAGGCGAATATGTGAGAAAGTAAGCAAACGCACCGTCCAATCTACTCGAGCCCGGCTTTGTCAAACGTTTGTCGAAACAGAACAGATTAGAATGGAGCACTAAACGATCAGAACGCAGAGGCTGGGAAGGGATGTAGGCGGATATAAGAAGGGACTGAGTTCCCTTTAAGTCAAAAGATTCTGGCGAAGTGAACAAGCAGCTAGCCCGGACCAAGGGCCAAAGCCAGCGCTGCTGCATTATCAAGGTTCTGCTGTAACGGCACAACATAAAAGATTATTGGTTGCCGCCATAGCTTTTCTAGGGAAAAACGGTAGGCGGAAACCAGATTTGGTCCAGTCTGTGTAGGATTTCCAAGGAGAAAAGGGCGGCCGGACGGAAGAAAGAAGAGATACTGCGCTGGCAACTCTGGAGTAGTGTTCCGTCTACCGCTTAGCAGCTAAGCCCCCGTTTTCGGTAGCCGTTAAGCTTCAAGGTCATTGCGCTTTCCTCTAAAGGCCGTCTATGCCATTCTGAAGGAAAATGGGGCTTGCAGGCTTCGGAGGAGCCGTAGTTTCCGTCCGTTTTGGGATACGACCGAATATAGAAGACGGGGAAAACGAGAATACGAATAAAGGCTGAAGAGGGGAGGATAAGGGGAAGGAAGTAAGACACATTTCTACGTACCGGAATGAATGGAAAACGGCGTTTCTATGCTGGAATGCTGCCCGCACAGGGCCACCTCTTGCTTCCGGAGGCGCCGCGGCTTTTGCCAGAGCAACGGATACGAATTTAGTCTGAGACACGGCGGCCAATAGGTAAGGGCTGTGACTGCATTGGGTGAAGGAAGGCGGATGTCCCTTTCAACTTTGGCTTTCGTAGCCGTGCTAGAAATCCATATTCCTGCATAAACCGCGGAACGTGGAGTACAACGTACAGAGACTACTGTAAGGTTTCTTTAGTTAACCCAACTCACCGCACTATTCAAAACCATAAAGCGAGCAAGTCTACATCGCTGTATCTAGCTAAATAGTCCACTTTTATCTAGACTTTTATAGGGTGTTTTTCGACTGTTTCGTTCAACTCTTGTAGTAAATATCAATGTGCTGCATACGCTTGCCTGACTCTTTTTCTCGCTTTTCCAACTTGTCGGCAAGGTAATATAAGCCCAACAACGAAGTGGCTTAAAGTGCATGTTAACTGCATTGCAGCTATGCATTGTGCTAAATGTACAAGAACGAACAAAGTCGATTTAAGCTGTTGTGAAAACAAGGAGAATTAGTTGGTGTAGACTTTGTAGAGACTTCCTCTTCGGTTTTAGGATAAGCTGCTGAAAGTGGGAGGACATTTTTGACAGCGACGACGCGGAGCAGACCGTCAGTAGGATGGTTCTCTAGACATGCCGTGCGCTGTGGGGCATTCGCGGGCGTACACATGATGTGTCGACCATGATCAGGAGGCAAGCACATTTACGTAGGTAAACCGAAGAATCTTTCGAAGCTTCTGGATCGGATAAGCGGTGCCTAACCGATAATAACCTACCATTGAGTTGATGAAAGAAGAGCCAAGATAGGCAGTGAGATCGTTTTCGCAAGTAGCATGAAAACACCTTCGGATCGACTATTCTCTGTCAATATAGCTGTGTAAGGACTTAAGCGAAGCACCGAGGTAATTCTCTCGTGTAACAACCTTCAAGCGTGTCTATTTAAGAAAAATAATAATAATAAAAAAAAAGAGCTTCTGGGTTATTCATTTACAAGACCGAACTGCTTGCTATGAGGGAATTTACAATGAACATTACTTTTATAACATGTTATTACTACGATATTTATCTATGCTTGCAAAATGAATTCCAACACTTTCTTTATATCTAGGAGGTATCATATGAAGGTTTGTAAAGATAAGGAGATTTTTATTGCGGCTTTTTCCCACAAGAGAGAACTAAGTAACGTATTTTCCTAACTTTTTTCATTCACACAAATTGCTTAGTGACTAATTAGTACTAGGTAGAATTTTTGGGGAAACACTTTATTGGGCCTATCGGTGGACGTGTTGAAGGAAAAGTTTAATGTTTAATGAAAGCCAGCTTGATAGGTTTCGCGGGTCCTCTCTCAAACACAGGCAGTAACTTCCGCAGTTGAGCCTCATATAACGACTATTTGAAGAAAGAATCCATGTATAAACGTATCCTTCGGTAAAAACAACATCCGCATCACTGTCTCGATATTAGTCGAAGTAATAACGAGGCTGGTAGTATACGCTAGTTTTGTATAGGTCGCATGTTTAAATCGAACATCCGATAAGTCACATAAAAGGAGATTTTTATTGCGGCTTTTTCCCACAAGAGAGTACTTTCTCAGTGTGGTCATAACTTACGCGATCCGATTTTTAAAGGCCTGTCAAATAAAATGAAAGATGCGCCCTGCTAGAAGAAAAATGCTACCAACACCCCAATGCTGTCAACAGAAAGGCACAGTTATAAAGGCTGCGTGGCTTCAAGGTCAAAAAGCGCGCACCCTCATGGTTTCCATAGCCGTGTCTAAAAAGAACAAAGCCGGAAGCTGTGAGCCACTTTAAACAGAAGACTAAAAATATTTTAGCAAGGATCTAGTGTCCTGAAGCATACGGCGAGCCTTTTTTTAAGAAAATAGTTCTTAGTTAGACCCTCATTCTCCTTTTCCGAGCCCATTTTTTTACGCTGGCTTGTAAGTCCACAGAAGATGAAGAATACTAAGCTGCTAAGCTTCTAAGCTGCTAAGAAAATATTCAAGCCTATATCATTCACATCAAATGTTCGTCCCAAATATGTGGCCCATAAGATCCTCAGCTCAATGTCAAGCAGAATTCCTTCTTAGCCATCCGAAATATTAGAAACGAGCTATTTCTTTCTGTTCCTTTCAGAACCCAATCTGATTCTTAACAAGCTGAAAAAAAGTAAGGGAACTTCCTGTTTGTTTGTTTGTTTCGACTATAACTAACTGAATATAGGTGCTGATAAATGGTGATATCTCATAGCCTTTTCAAGTTTGGCTTATCTTCAAATAAGTATATAAAACAGTACTAATTTATAATCAAAGTAAATTAATGTTTTATCGGCAATGTTTATCAACATATTCTGCGTAGTAACGATAGTACAATTTATAGCGTTACATTGCGCTATGGCGCCGTGAGCCAAATATTTTTCTCTGAAATTACGTAACGAAATTCTTAACTTTCCTTTTTCTCAATACTTTTTAAGTGTGACATCTATGGATATGAAATAAAAAAGAATTTTGTAACATATTTTCTATTGAGTATAATTTTACTCGTTTACTTTTGTTTCAGCGGTGGTGCTACTACAGATCTGGTCCTTTTCTACATTGGGCCTGCTCATGCCTACAGTAATTTAATGGTTCTACGAAGTCTGCTCTCTTAAATCAACCGCTATGGGCTGATTTGGAAGCACACTACGAGATATGATCTAACGTTCTTTTACAGCTTAGTTAAGGATTAGGCTCAATTTGAAGACGAATCATACTTGAGCCTTAGGTCAACGCCAACCAACAATGCTCTCTCGATAGGCTTATATATATATGGCCATCGAACGTAAGTACCATATAGTATATAACTGCTGTGTGTTGATACCTGCATGTCGGTTTACTTCGTTTCACGTCCTTATACGTGCGCATCGTCAATTATGTCTTGATACTATTTCTAGCTCAGATATGTGTATTTCCTGTTAAATGGACCGCACGACAGCAGCGGGCAGCAAGCTCTATCATCAAGTAAACAGAATGAACGTGACCGAGGCATGTGGTAATTTGCATTCTAAATCCAAGTCAGATTTGAGAAGTGTGTTATTTTTAAACAAGACGTTTCGGCGTCTTTAATCGACGTAGTACGTACGCGGTATTGTGGACGCTTTCGGGGTGACAGTTGAACAGATCGGCTGAAATTAAGATACAACGAAGTACAAAAAAGAAGGGGTTGTGTCAGTTCGGACAACCCCGACCAGCAAGTCGTTACCCAAAAGACGATATTCCCCTCGACACAGACAATGACGAGATTTTACACGGTTGATAATACTTGACATTACAACAGCGAGACAATACAGACTGCAACGAAATCTTTTTTGTATATCTATATGTAACATACCGACTATACTAAACAAATCGTGCATACCTATAATGGGCAAAAGCCCAATGTTTCGTTTAACTAAGATTTAGGTCGTATACCATTTCAGAGTATATATTTCTGTGCTTTCAGCATGTCTTTAACCTATCACGGCGTTACGGACTCAATCCGATATCCTAACTTCGCTTATATTACGAAAAACGTATGTCTGAAATCATATACAAACAGCTGCTAAATCGACTGCAATGCAAGTTATCGGTTTATGATAAATATCGTTATTTTATAGGTATAACCTCTTAAATAACATTCTTTGAG